ACAAAGCCCTTTAAAGCTTTATGAACAAAGAGCAGAACTAATCTGGAGTAGAGCTCTCAATCTGTACTGATGACAGAAATTCCACATGAAACAAGTTTCTTTTGAGCGTTATCAAAATGAATAGGCATAGTTCTTTCCATATCTTGGAGGCATAATCTTCATTTTGGGTTAGCAGTTAATTGAAGTTTATGTAGGTGATATTTCAGACCACAATGGTATATAATGAAACCAGTTAGGAACCTTAAATCAACTTTTGAGAATTTAATAATGTTTTTATAGGAAAATGGTTTGACCAGTGCTTTGCTTTGTCTGAGTCCATGCACATCCTTGCAGTGTACCAGATGCAAATCATTTGTAGTTTAGAATTAAAGTAATATAAATTTTATACTTATTTGTGGTGAACATATGAAACATGTCGAATGATGTAGCTAAAGTTAAAGTAGAGAAAGTGGGATACTATAATTGAGCTTTTCGGGGTTAAGAAAGATCAATCGGAAATTCTTCATTATACAAAATATCCAAAATGGGAGATATTTCGATGGGAAACTGAAAGGTCTTTCGATGAGTTTTCAGTTATAGAGTTGGAATAAAGAATGGAATTGAGGAAAATGGTAGCTACTGGTTTTGCATTTAAAGTCAAATAATGAAGTATTCTTAACATATAATACATTTTCCATAATTTAACATAATTGCTTAAAACTATGCATATTAAGGTCAGTAACTCAAATGATGTTATAACGTTATAGGTATTCATTTAGAATAGAGTTAGACTCATATGTGAATAACTCTCAAATGAGAAAACTTTTCATTGATAAATCTTTTTAAAATTTCACTAAAATACATAAAAATGATTGAATTCTCATTCAGTCGGCGACTGGCTGTCTGCACCGAAAGTTAGTTGTTACTTCGGCTTGTTTATGTGTTTGTTGTCATTCAAATGTTGACATGATGTTTCCAAAAGTTTTTCGTGTATGTCCTTGAATGGAAAGTGGCGACAAATTTTAATAAAATTTGTATATTGCAAAAACTTAGCAACTTTTTATACCGTCTGACTTCGGTTCAGCATATTTAAAGTAACAAACATTTCATTTTACTCATACGAGTACTTTTGACATAACTTAAAGATACTGACAAAGTGGAACCATCCTTTTTAAAGCACTTATGGGTAAAGTTTAAGCAAGTTTTCAAAGTTAGTGAGTAAGGGTTTGTTTTTTCCGAACAGGTCTCATTTATTAACTTAAAGTAGCGTGTTTTTGAATTTTACATACGTTTATAGTTTCATAAGATTTGACCTTATGCTTCAAAACTTTTAGAACTGAGCAAGAGAAGTAAAAGTGTTTTAAACTAAATAAGAAGTTCAATCAATGAGACATGCTTTACTTTTTTGTTAAGTTTTTTATTTTTATAATAAAAAAAAATTCGCGAATAAACTCGCTAATTGAACAAATATAATATATATAAACGCGATTCATAAGTTCGTTAACGGTTGCAATAATTAAATAGTCTATAACTCATAGATTATTTCATCGTTCTCATAAATAAATAGTCTACTATAGAATTCATAGGTTAGTCTATTGTTTCGATGATTAGTCAATAAATTTTAGATCAAGTACTTTAATATAAGACTTTGTATGACACTTTTCACTTTTATGGAGTTCAGAGCTACCGAAACCAAACGGAATTTTTCCAAACAAACAAGATAATGTGTCGTTTGGTAGCAATTATGCATTCGAATAATAACGAATGATTACTCCTTTAACGAAACTAAACACAGCGTCAGATTCGGAAGACACGGGTGTTAACTTATATCATATTATATATCGTATGTGATCATAAAGATCATATCAATAGGTAAGATAAATAGGTAATATAATAAGAATTCGCCTTCTTAGTCACTTAAAGGTCGATGAAATTTCGTAATTGATGGACTAAGATCGACACGCAAGGTTAGAGTTAGTAAACATTAACTGCATGGCAGTTTGGAGTCATTTAAAAAGTGCAGCCAATGCAAATACGCTGGACGTTTGATTACCACATAAATTAAATCATCAAAATATTGCAGAATATTGTAATGTTAATATTACTGTTAAACACTGTGCTAATATTTGCATTTTTATAACATTTGATTACACTTTTTTAATATTCTGTATTTGTAATTTTAAAAATAATATTGTCTTTGCGGCTGATTTGCAAATGTTGCTAAACATTTACTCAAAAACATAGAAATATATTTCTAATATAATATATGATAATATAATGTATAATAATATATATCGTCTTTGATTTTTATTGTATTAAGCTTTTGTTCACCACCCCAAGAAGATCAAAGCTTTTTTGTTGCACTACTTTGCTTACTATTTTAAGAAGCATTTTGTTGAAATTAAAATGTTGATAAATATTTTGTTATAAACAATGTTGCTATTAGTATGGCAACACTGAGCATTAATAACATAAATTTAATAACAAATCTATATAAAAACTTATTGTTTTTGTTGGGATTAATACACAATATTAACAATGTTTGCTATCAACAAAAAACAGAGCAAACGGTAATTAGTTGTTGTTGCTTTTATATTAAAACAATAAAAAAACGTTTCATTTTTAAAACGTTTTTGTTTGTAATCTCGTCTTATATTTTTTTTTCCAACTGCATTTAATGCGATTGATTAGTACTGTTTCGTTTTTAATGCAATCAAGTTCGGTAATTAGTGAAAAATAATAATAGGAATGTATTATAATATTTAAATAGTAATAAATCAGTAAAAATTAAAGTAACTAGTAAGTAAGAATGCATATTTAATAAAAATTTAATAAGAGTGTATACAAGTGATATGTTTATACGCAGTAATATGTTTTTAATTATAAGGTGAATATTAATATCCAAACTAAGATAAAGTGACTCTAATAATAATATATTAGTTTTAATAAGTGTTATAAAATAAATTAAATTTAAAAATAATAGTGTATAAATTAAAAATATGAAATAATATTAAAAAATATATAATATAAAATAAGAATTTTAAATATTAATATTTATTGAATCTTATTAAAAAAATAATTTAACGCTTCTGTGAATTGATGCAAGCTAATGTGTACACATATATGTTAACAACATTTTTAGTATAACAGTTAAATAACAGCTACTGTATATCTTCTTCAATGAACTGTTAAATTTGTTTATTAAACATGAATAACAAAGGCTCAGATTACAGGTAAGTGGAATATGTTGTTTTTTAATTTTATTAAATATCACATTAAATTTTATTAAATTGATGGAATTTTTAACTTACGTTTTTACGAAAAAAATTAAATTCTAAGATAAGCTATTGTTGTTAAATTATAAAAATGTAATCTATTTTCAATTTATCGTTATTATCGTCAGAAATGTTAAAATATTATTTTTAAAATGGAAATATAAATTGTTAAAATGTTGAAATTAATCTTTGTGTCAACCCCTACATACCCGTGAATTATATTTTGATATATTTTTATATATATTATATCTCTTGACTTTTATTATTATGTACTTAGTAATACGAAAAACATTTAAAAACTTCAACAGCTGTATGGTCAGCCAAAAACTCAATTAATTATAATAAAATGATATAAAATAAAAAATAAAAATATGAAAATAATTAAAATAATATAAAAAAATTTTGTTGTTCTAGTTTACTACTTTTCGAAAACTCTTTTAATAAATAATATTTTTATAAACAATACAAAACGTAGAAACATGATTTATAAAATAGGCTAATAAGTTATAAGATAATAAAATTTAAAAAATATTAAAATAATGACCATAATATTTATTAGATATTCACTAAATAATATAAGATAATTCCTACTTACTAAAAATGATCAGCAATTACAGTGTATATAATTTAATACCAGTGATTATAATGTTTTTTTACTTGAAAGTGAATTTTGATTAAATTACAATTAGTTTATAGATAGGAAATAACAGGGTACTAGCTCCCATTTGAGCAGAGCACTGCGACCATGATTGATCTTTTGTGCTACAACAGACCCTAACTGAACAAAAGACATTCCGCCTTTCGAACGAAGATCAAAATGTCGGTTGTTGAGGACTTCCTAATGTCGAAAGGTGAATTAGTTTATAATATTAGTTTATATAATTAGTTTATAAATCACGAGAGATTATAAACTCTTCTTAAAAATTAAAACTTTTTATTCTGTTTGTTAATTTATCTGTCGTAGACATGTCTACGGCGAATCAGCAACCAAAACTAAACTGTTTAAACTGTTAAATTAAGTTTACTTCGATATTATCGATCTTAAATACTCAACAATATGTTAGATTAATTTATAAAGTACTAAAACACTTCCTTTAATAAACTAATTACTAGTGAGATAACAGTCAATGTTGGTGTTAATACCTGAATAATTTTATGTTTCCAAATTATGTCTTAAAGTGTCTCGCATCTCAACTTTACTGGATTCATTTACTATGGGCTTATATATGCAAAATTCAGGGGGTTAAGGAGTTTAGTATAGAAAGTTACCTTTTAGAAAATCTTAGTCAGTTGCTAGATTTCATCTTTGAAACTATCGTTAGCTTTATTAAAAATTCTAGATAGTTCAGAATTTATCAAACTTCCTACGATAGCGCTATAAATCAATAGACTAAATTCGTCGTTAGAACTAAGAACGTCGTTAGAACATTAATCGTAATCCTTCGAAATTGATATATGTCGGCTGGGAAGTTTAGAAGCATACGTCGTTGTTTTCTAAGATTGTACTATCACATTATTATTCATGCCAAACTTGTGAAACTCTCTTCTACTGATATAAAACTTGACCACACAATATATCACTATTTCTTTCGTCAGTAGCTAAACACTAGCGAAAGAAATGCGCTATACCATATATAGATCTATTAAATTTTTGTTTAAAAAAAAAGCAAACTGAATATTTTTTTCCAGATAATACTATAGATTGTGGTCCATTGCTTACTGGACTTTGCATTAACATTTTTAATTTTAATATAGGAAATCGGGTCCTTGATTAGCCCATTCACGTAGTAAGTTTTTCTGTTGCTCCATATTATCGCCCATATCTTGTGTCATCCGAAACTGTATCAAAATAAGAAGATAGTTAAAAACCACTGATGTAACCTAGAATCACAAAAATAATATTATATTATTATATTATTAAATAATATTATATGAAACATTTTTGATATCAAATTTGTTACCGTTGTTATGATAGTACGCCGTATGGTCAGATTAAAACCGCAATTGAATTCGACATTATTATCCAAACGCCACATCATAAGAGCTTCAACCAAATTTCGTATTTTTACACTTTTAGGATACCAGGAATTTAATTGCTCTATGAGACGTACACATTTTGTACTCTTTGTTGCAAATTTAAAAAAAAAATAAAAAAAATATATTTAATATTATAGAATATATAGCATTATATATAATATATATAAACAAGCTAAACCGTGCTTAGAAATATGATGCCCATGGGCAAAATTTTAAACAATTAAAAACTTCAAAAGATTTTAAATGTACTAAGTATATATACTTTAAACATATTATCAATTAAAATTATACATATATATATATATTTTTTATTATATATTATGAAATATCCATAGGGTTACAAGTGGGTTTATTCAGTTGTGAGTATATACAGATATATTATTGAAGAAACATCACAAGAAAATGTTTACCTCTTTTATTGTTTCCTCACAATAAATGGGTGCCATTATCATCTTATAGAGTGGAGGTAGCATCACCATGACCACATAACTGAGTAAATAATAACTAGTATTTTGACCGGCAATAGTTCTTCCAAACACCATATACAATTCACTCGTTGTCAACATGAAGTCATGTGCCAAAGTAAAAAGTAATGATAATGTGTACACTCTATTTATCTCACGTATTATTTGTTGTAGCTCCTTCCATATCTCCACTGCTCTTTGTAAGCGTAACTCTCTTAAATTGCTTTCCGAAAACTTGTAATCTATAAACTCTTTATTCAAAATCTTCTGTAATAAACGACAGCGAATTTTGATAATTTCGGCTAAATTCATATGAGCATAACCATTAAAGTTAATGCTACCAGTTATTAAACAATAACACATAGCACCCATAAACATTAGTATAAAATCATTATTGGATAGTTGAAGTGTTGCCCATAGAACTGCTCCTAAGTACACAATGGAAGATAATGTCATCACCACTATAACTTTTCTCAGTAGTTTGTGATAATTCATATTGGCACCAAACTCTTTAATGAAATACTCATCAATTGTCTGTAGCCGTTCGTATATATATAGATGTCTCTTACTGTGATACTGTAGGGAAAATACTGAGATAAAAAAAACTAAGGACGACATGAAGATTTCCGAAAATATTATGGATAATAATAAACTATCGAGACTGAAAGTACGCTCCTTTTGATAGGGATCTGTTAGTTTATTGTAAATAGTGTAAGCAGCGCCAAGCACGTAAACTATAGGCGCGACAAATGTGTAGATTCGACTGCCTTTGGTGATTATATAACGACCGTTACGCCTCCAAAATCCGTTACAGCATAAGAAGAACTGGAGAGAGCAGATGAAAATCGTACAATCGTAAATTGTTTTTGGTTTAATAAAAATGTGAAGCAACGCCATTTCGAGTTCACCTCACGACTGTTACTGTTGGATTTCGAAAAATTGTTGGTTCAGTTTAGTTACTAATTTTAGTTGTAATTTTAATTAAGTAATTGTGATTTATAAAGTGCCCCGAAGTAATTAACTAATAGTTGAGTAATTAACTTGCAATTAATCAGAGTTATGGATAAGGAACAAAACTTATGAATAGTACGCCATACGCATTCATCTACTTGACTGCCAATTATATTATATTTTTTTTGCTTTATTTAATTTAAGGAAAAATAATATTTATTTGGATTTATTGCAGTTTATTTTAGTTATATATTTAATTTCTTTTAATTGTTAGTTTATGTGAAAAATAATTCAACAGTACCCAGTAAACTGAACCAATAGATAACGAATTAGAAGCTAACATTATTCACAAAAAATATGTTTAGCAGATATATAATTAGTTTATACTTTCGTTCCCAAAGTGAAAATTGGTACTTCAATTCGTCAACAA